AGAAAATCTAACAAAAACCAGAAAATCTAAGAGAAGAGAAATAGATATAAGGGAAATAAAATTGCATTTAGTTACGTACATTAACTCGCGCATTTACTCCCTCTCACCGATTTCATCCCACTCGCATTGATAATGCCTTCATAGTGTATAGTATATTTTGGATGGTACCCTTTTGTCAATTTCTTCTAACAAATATATGACTTGTTTTCTACCTGTAATTAAAATCTCTGCTATTGGTCTGCACCAAATTCTCTTTGTTTATACCAAACTTTGTATAGTGCATCGACGAAGTTTATATTGCAGCATTACTAAATGCACAATATATACATTGTATACTACAACTTTGATGGGCATTGAGTGCTATTACTCATAACTTTTTTTTTTGTCAACGTGCTATTACTCATAACTAAATGCATTGAAATATACATTTAGCATTTATTACCCGGGCTGGGTTTCGCCTTGACAATTTGGTGTGTTGACGCAAAAGGGCCGGTGTCCCGATTCGGCTTGCTGTTGTGGCCCTTGTGGCAGCTATATTTCTTGGGGAGTCAATTCACGTTGGCAGCATCATAGGTGCATTTATAATCATTCTTGGTCTATACCTTCTCCTATGGGCGAAAAAAAAGAGTCCAAGATGGAGAGTTCGCCCGCACCAAAAACTGTTTAAATCGCTTTTTTACTTTGTTTAGGTTATCCATTCTTGGATTTATGAAACTTTCTGTTGAATTCTGTTGTTATTCAATGCTGCTAAAAAAACAAAATAACAAAAAAAATTACTAAAAAAAACTAAATGCACTATTATGTACTTATGTAGATAATCATATTAAAATATATACATATCCCGAAAGTTAAACGCATTGTTATATATGTAAGTACATGACTAAATGCATTTTTCTATGCAGCCAATTATATCAAAACATTTATATGTATATAACTAAATAGATTTTCATATATATATATATATGTAGACACTTATATCAAATATATATATATAGTAATGACATGTGGATTGTGGTGTATATCTATAATGCATTTACTCACAAAGTGTTATGTGTAGTGATGATGTATGGAAAATGTGTCATAATAAATTACTCTTTGTTACAAAAGTCAAAGACTTGCGTGTTGTCTTCTACAATGGAGCCCATAGTCATTTCTATCCCACCCACAGTAATTGTTGTCCAAATTTTCTCTATATAAAGAGAGTGTAATGAAAGATATGATTACTTATATTTCTTTCCACAAACACTTTCATAATATAGTTATAATCCAAATTCTAAACACAATATAACTATAACACGTTATCAGCACGATCACTCTGCCATTATAATTCTAAATTCTAAATTAAATTTACCATTCTCGGAGTGCGGCTCGCCGCCCCGGCAACAATTTGTCTTTATTTTTACAGTGGTTGTTTTATACACCATAATGGACGGTTTAACCTCCTAATATTTTTACTTGCTGTTATTCTTTTATTTACTCTATCTTTATGGTTGATTTTAATCACCATATTCATTTATTTATTTACCATGCTTTATTTTTACTTATGGTTGATTTTAATCACCATACTTATTTATTTATTTGTTCTGCAATTTTTATTCAATCTATTTTTATGGATGAGTTTAGTCACCATATTTAACATGTTTTATTTTATTTGTTTTATGGTTGATTCATTCACCATATTTATTTATTTACTGTTATTATATGGATGAATTAATCACCATATATTTATCTTTAAATTTCTGTTTAAATCATAATTACTGTTAAAATTTATATTTTATATCTGAACTAGTAAACAATTATTTTCTAACATTTTTAAATTATTATATATTTATAGAATTATTTTTTTACTTCCAACGGTCATAAAGTTAATTCTCCAAAAGTTTTTTTTTTTACTTTCTAACGGCTACTTAAACGGCTAATAAACAGTATTTTCTAATCTATAAATACACTTATTTTTCATTCACTCATTTCACTCAAACAATTTATCTTTCATCGAATCCTCAAAGAAAAAAAATGCTTAATCTATTTTTAATTTTTGTAATAGGTTATATTTTTGTTGCAATTTATAGTTTATATATTGGAGAATTTTCTCCAGAAGAATATGTGATGATTTTTATGTTAATGTTTTATGCAATTGTATTTCTTGTAATCTCGTTATTTATTCCAGCTCCACGCATATTTTAAATTAAATAAAATTATTTTGCTAATAATACTCTGTGTTATTTTATTTTAGACATAATGGCAAATATCGAGAAGCTCCAATTCCCGGCCTTGGACATCACTGGTGCTAATTACATTTCTTGGACCACGAATGTCGAACTTCATTTGGAATCTCTTGCGTTATCAGAAACCATAAAAGAGAACAATAAGTCGACGGCCCAAGAAAAGGCGAAATCGGTGATCTTCCTTAGAAGACACCTAGATGAGAGCATCATATATGATTATGCACACATGAGGGATCCCAAAGAGCTCTGGAAGTCTCTGAAAGATCGGTTTGATCATCAGAAAGACATAACACTTCCACTTGCTCGGGATGAGTGGCAAAGTCTGAGGTTCCAAGACTTTGACAAAGTGATTAACTACAATTCCGCCGTGTTAGGAACTGTGGCCAAACTGAGATACTGTGGTGAAACCATAACGGAAGCTCAAATGCTTGAGAAAACGTACACCACATTCCACAAGGATCACATCACCCTGCAACAACAATACAGTTGCGGGGATACACCAAATTTTCTGATTTGATTGTGGCACTCCTAATTGCGGAGAAAAACAGTGAGCTCCTCATAAAGAATCACATGACTCGACCTACTGGATCCAAAGCGTTTCCTGAAGCAAACGCATTGGATGTAAAGAAACCGGTGAAAGAAAACAATTCTTTCCGAGGTCGTGGAGGTCGAAACAATCGCGGACGTGGCGGACGTGGGAGATACAACCCAAATAACAAAAGGTCATTCCAATGGAATCGCTCTGATCAATCTTCAGAAAAAGAGCACCAAGGAAACACCTCCCAGAAGCGAGAGACTGTTTGTTACAGATGCGGTACAAAAGGACATTGGTCCCGGAATTGCCGTACTCCTAGGCACCTTTGTACATTGTACAAAGATTCTGCCAAAGGCAAAGGAAAAGAAGTAAACCTTGCAGAGCACTCAGAGGGAACAACCCACCTCGATGCTTCTGACTTTGCAGATGATTTCGATGACACCGTCCCATCTGAAGTCTGAAATATCCGCCATGTGACTCATGAAATCCCAAGGATTGTGTTATAAATAATTGCCACTTGTGTGAAATGTTTAAAATTAATAATGCTTGCACTATCTATTTATGTATAATTATTGTGTGATGCTAAACTACTTATGTATAATTATTGTGTAATTTTTAACTATTAATGTATAATTATTGTGTGCTGTTTGCTTGATTAATAAAATTACCTTATTTATATAACTTGTTTTGTTGATCTCAGAAATGGATTACAAAACGAATGGAACAACATCCAAGATGAATAATGGAGATATATGTATACCAGACAGTGGAACAACGCACACTATTCTGAAACATAGAAAATATTTTTCTAATTTAAAACCGACAAAGATTATTGTCAATACAATCTCAGGTCCTGCAGACTTGATTGAAGGAACTGGTAACGCTAATTTTGCATTACCTAATGGGACGAGATTCTCAATAGATAATGCATTATTTTCTCCAAATTCAAAAAGGAATTTGTTGAGTTTTAAAGATATATACCTTCAAGGGTTTGATACTCAGTCAGCGACTGAGGATGGAAAGAAGTATATGTATATTACTTCTGAAAAATCAGGAAAAGTGAAAGTATTGGAAAAGTTACCAAAACTCCCTTCTGGTTTGCATCATACATATATAAATGAGATAGAGTCACATCTAGTGATCAAAAGAAATCTTGATGATTTCACAATATGGCATGATCGCCTTGGCCATCCTGGTACTACTATGATGCGAAAAATTATTGAGAACTCACACGGCATTCCTTGAAAATGCAAGAAATATACCAAGGAAAGAAAATGACGTGTGCCGCGTGTTCTCTTGGAAAATTGATAATAAGGCCATCACCATCCAAAATTGATAAAGAATTGCCAAAATTCCTTGAACGAATCCAAGGTGATATATGTGGACCTATACATCCACCGTGTGGACCATTTTACTACTTCATGGTAATGATTGACGCGTCAAGTAGATGGTCACATGTTTGTCTATTATCATCTCGAAATGTGGCATTTGCGAGATTTCTAACTCAGATAATCAAACTAAGAGCTCAGTTTCCTGATTATCCAATAAAAGGAGTTAGACTAGATAATGCTGGTGAGTTCACATCTCAAGCATTCAATGATTATTGTATGGTAACTGGGATTAATGTTGAACATCCTGTGGCCCATGTTCATACGCAAAATGGTTTGGCCGAATCATTAATTAAGCGTTTGCAATTAATTGCTAGACCATTGATCATGAGATCAAAACTCCCACCCTCTGTATGGGGACATGCTGTTTTGCACGCAGAAGCTCTTATTCGAATAAGACCAAGTGCATACCATAAGTATTCCCCATTACAGTTGGCTTTTGGTCGAGAACCAAATATTTCTCATCTAAGAATTTTTGGTTGTGCGGTATACGTACCTATAGCACCACCACAACGTACAAAGATGGGACCGCAACGAAGATTAGGAATATATGTTGGTTGCGATTCCCCGTCTATTATACGATATCTCGAACCACAAACGGGAGATGTCTTTACGGCACGCTTTGCTGACTGCCATTTTGATGAGAAAGTATTCCCGGTTCTAGGGGGAGAAAATAAGCAAGAAATGAAGGATATCAAGTGGTGTGTACCATCCTTACTACACCTTGATCCTCCTACAAAACAATTGAACTAGAAGTTCGACGAATTATGCATTTGCAGAATATAGCAAATCAGTTACCTGATGCGTTTGCTGATACCAAATTGGTAACAAAATCACATATACCAGCTGCAAATGCCCCTTGCTCGTATTGAAATACCACATGAACGTGCAAAGGCAGACGATACACGTGAGTCTAAAACACGCTTGAAGCGTGGTAGACCTGTTGGTTCTAAGGATAAAAATCCTAGAAAGCGAAAGGAAGTTGAGAAGCATGATGATCCTAAAATAACAGAAAGTATTTTAGGAGAAACAAGTCATGAAGCCAATGAAAATATCGAACTTCCCGAGTCCGAAGAAAATCATGAGATCTCTATCAACTACATTCATAATGGAAAGATATGGAATCGAAATGAAATGGATGATGTTGATGAGTTTTTCTCATATCTTGTATCAAACGAAATAAATGAGGAAAACGAAGATCCAGAACCAAAATCTGTATCTGAATGTCAAAAGAGACATGACTGGGAAAACTGGAAAAATGCAATTCAAGTCGAACTTGATTCGCTTAATAAGCGAGAGGTGTTTGGACCTATCGTAGTCATACCCAAATCAGTCAAACCAGTTGGGTATAAATGGGTTTTCGTTCGAAAAAGAAATGAGAATAATGAGATTATGAGACATAAAGCTCGTCTCGTGGCTCAAGGTTTTTCTCAAAGACCTGGAATCGATTATGAGGAAACTTATTCTCCTGTCATGGACGCAATCACATTTAGATTTCTGATGAGTCTAGCGGCTAGTGAAAATCTAGAAATGCGTCTTATGGACGTCGTCACAGCATATTTATATGGATCATTAGATACTGATATTTATATGAGAATCCCCGAAGGATTCAAAATGCCAGAAGCATTAAGTTCTAAACCAAGAGAATTATGTGCAATAAAATTACAAAGGTCATTATATGGGTTAAAACAATCGGGGCGCATGTGGTATAATCGCCTAAGTGAGCATTTGATCAAAAAGGGATATATCAATAACCCTATATGCCCATGTGTTTTCATCAAGAAAACATCATCCGGATTTGTAATTATCGCGGTGTATGTTGATGATCTAAATATTATAGGAACTCATGAAGAGATACATGAAGCAACTAATTATCTAAAAGGGGAATTTGAGATGAAAGATCTCGGACAGACAAAGTTTTGTCTTGGCTTACAAATCGAGCATTCTGAAAAGGGTATATTTGTACATCAATCTACTTATACCAAAAGAGTGTTAAAACGTTTCTACATGGATAAGTCAACTCCCCTGAGTACACCTATGGTAGTTAGATCACTTAATGTTGAAAAAGATCCTTTTCGACCACCTGAAGAAAATGAAAAGATACTTGGTCCTGAAGTACCATATTTAAGTGCTATTGGTGCCCTTATGTATCTTGCGAATTGTACACGTCCTGATATATCATTTGCCATTAATCTCTTGGCAAGATTTAGCTCATCTCCAACTCAAAGACATTGGAATGGAGTTAAGCATGTACTTCGCTATCTTCAAGGGACGATTGATTTAGGATTATTCTACCCTAAAAACGCAGATGACCAAATGATTGGTTTTGCAGACGCTGGGTATCTATCTGATCCTCACAAAGCTCGTTCACAAACCGGTATGTTTTCACTGTCGGAGGAACCGCTATCTCATGGCGCTCCAGAAACAAACTCTCGTGGCCACCTCCTCAAACCATGCTGAAATCATTGCGCTCCACGAGGCAAGTAGAGAATGTGTTTGGCTTAGGTCAATAAGTCAACATATCCAATCAAGTAGTGGAATCCGAGTCTATACAGAACCAACCATATTATATGAAGACAATGCTGCATGTGTTTCTCAAACGAAGGAAGGATATATCAAAAGCGATAGAACCAAACATATTCCACCTAAGTTCTTTTCATATACCCAAGAACTTGAGAAGAACAAAGCTATTGAGGTGAAATATATCCGGTCATCCGAGAATGCAGCAGATCTCTTCACAAAGTCACTACCTACCTCAACATTTAAGAAACATATCCATAACATTGGAATGCGTCATCAACGAGACCTATGAAACCAAGTCATTCGAGGGGAGATTATACAGTTGTACTCTTTTTGCCTTACCATGGTTTTTCCCATGGGTTTTCCATAGAAGGATTTTTAACGAGGCAACCGAAAGCTCGTAAAGAGAAACACAAATGATAATGGACTCCAAGGGGGAGTGTTACAAAAGTCAAAGACTTGCGTGTTGTCTTCTACAATGGTGCCCATAATCATTTCTATCCCACAATAATTGTTGTCGAAATTTTCTCTATATACAGAGTATACGTTCATGTTATAATACACATTCAATATCATACTTTCTACCTCGTCTCTCTTAATGGTATTAATACTTCTTCTATACTTTTTCTTTCTTTTAATGAAATACAATTATTTATATTTACTTCCACAAACACTTTCATAATATAGTTATAGTCCAAATTCTAAACACGATATAACTATAACAATCTTGAATATTTACGCACCCACTACGCCAATGTGGTTTTCTTTTTGTCATACGTGTTTTGAATTTTCACAGTTTCTGGTACTCTTTTGTTGAATCCTTCTAACAAACTTACATTTTGTTCTTTACTTAATTATGTGCCTCAATATTTATGAATTATTTGTTTTCACTGTCCGTTACTCGTTCGATTAGTATCCGAATAAACAGTCCGCGTGGATCCAACCGTGCTTTTTGTACTCAACTCAAATGTGACCAAGAAACTAGCATGTTGCATCTTTCAAAGAAAAGCTTGGTGCCTAAACATCTCAAAATCGAACCGAATAAATAAAGACCAATTTGTGTTGTTATGCCACTGCTTTTAAAGGAAGAACTTCTTAATCCAAAACATTATTTTATCCTTTTGACAACCACAAACAAAGGATTAACATAAACATTACACAATCCAAATACATCATCAAAGTCGTAACACAAATACATCAACAACAAAAAAAAACATTCAAAATACGAAATCTCAGTTCCAAGTTTCTTAAAGTCCTTTCTGTACCGGCAAAGATCCGGTACTACCACCGATCTCACCCAAACCGGTTTCACTTGAATCCGAAAATCCTTTAGTCCCTACATTTGCAACAAAACATTTGAGTAAGTCACAAGCAAATAATAACACACACCAACTTTTTTCCAATCAAACGCATAACAAAGAGCAAAGGAGGAGTGAGTTTTTACCCGCGGTGGAGTCGAGTGATTGTGAAGACTCGTGACCTGAGACCGGAGATTTCGGTTTCACCTCCTCCGTGGTACCACCGACCCAATAATTGTACGCTCCTTTAATCCTCCCCACCATTCCTCCTCCTTCTACCTCTGGTGCAGCCGCCTCACCGTGTTCTTTTTCCTCTGACACCTCACCGGAAGGGATCTTCTCCGCCGTCACTTCAACTTCCTTCGCCTCCGTTGCCTTCGTCTCTCCTCCGAGATTAAGTTTCCCGTTGATCATCTCAGAAAAAGCTTTGTCCTCTTCTTCAGGTGACAGTTTCTCTTTCTCCGGTAGATAATCACTAGCCTGGACATAATTCTCCTCCGCTCCACTTCCACCACCGGAGAGCGGCAATTTCGTCGAGACCGGTGATCCAGTTTCTTTAACCTTTTCGTCATCCGGAATAGACTTCTCAGCAACAGTCCCCGGATTTTGGACTCCCACGGGACTCTCATGTCCGGCGGTTTCGCCTGAGTATCCAAGACCTGAAGCGACGGTGTCTTTCGCGGCAACAGCTTTGCCGGTTACGAACGTCGTCGCTGAGCCGATCATCTCTGTGTAGGTGTTGGGTTTTGGCTCAGCTTCCGAATCGAAAGTATCTCTCTCTTTCGGACCCGAAAACTCCGGCGAGAATTGCTCGTTGAATTCCGTCTTAAAGTCTCTTCCCAGCCCGGTCTCCACTTTCACGTCACCACTCGTCGCCGGAAATTCCTTTTCGAGTCCAGATTCCGATTCTTCGCCATATCCATGGTTTCCCTTGGCCGACTCCTTCCCGATTGAATCATTCTTCAGATTAAATCCTTCTCCCAGCCCAGTTTCCGATTCTCCGGGGAATTTCGTCGGCGAATCCTTGCCGATTGCAGATTCCATCTCCTTCTCAAATTCATAGTTTTTCCCCAAAAAATCTTCCCTCCGCTCAGTTCCCGGTTCTCCGACACCCGTATCTTTCCCGATTTCAGTTCCGATCGTCTGTTCAAATTCACGGCTTTTCGCCGGAAAATCTTCCTTCGTCTCAGCTTCTGGTTTTCCGCCGAATCCCGCCGTCGAATCCTTCCCGATTCCAGATTCGATCTGCTCAAAGTCAGAGCTTTTCGCCGGAAAATCTTCCCTCAGCTCAGCTTTCCCGCCGAATCCCGGCGACGAAGCCTTGTCGATTCCAGATTCTTCGGTCTTCTGATCAAACTCGAAACTTCTCACCGCCGGTGAATCCTTTGCGATTTCAGATTCTGATTTCTGATCAAAAGACTCCTCCATCACTCTCATCCTACCAAGAGACTCAGCAATCTCCGGTACTCCATCTTCTCCACCTCCTACATTAACACACAACAGACGAAACAGTTACAGATCCATAAACCCTAAAACCACAATCCTAAATCCCTAATTAGACTAAACCTCGCTCAAAGTTGTTACCTTGATGAGTGGGAACAGATACACCACTCTCACTCTCAGTGTTGACTTCCGGTTGACGACCAAGATATTCACCGGGAGGAGCAAACGCCCTCGTCTCAGGAGTGCTCAAAGGCACTCTCCTATCTTCTACCTCCGCCAGATCGGAAGTTTTTACAGGATAAACCGGTGAATCTCTCGTCTCCTCCGGTTTTACAGGATGAGATAGTGCTTCGTGTCCGTAAGTGGCGTCTCGTAACGTCTCAGGTTCGTCGAGTTTGCTGTTATCGGAAGACGCGAAAGGTGAAACCTTTTTCTCCGGTGGAGTGATCTCCTCCGGTGCCGCCGCCACCGGAACATTAGTTTCTCGGGGATGATTCAGAGATGCGACGTGCTTTTGTGGGTCCTGGTCGTCGATTTCATCATCGTCTTCTTCTTCTTCGACGTCGTGATCGGGATCGGGCTCGTTGCCATGTTTGTTAGTGAGACTGTTCTTGATCTTCTTAGCTCTTGCCTTCACTCTCTTGAACATCTTTGATGCTCCACTCTCAGTATGGTGCTCTTCTTCCTCTGTTTCCGGATCACAAAATAAATTAAGCAAATTATTAGAAATGAAAAAAAAAATGTACAAACCTAAGTTTCCGAAATTTGAATCTACTTGTATATTGTATACCAGGATGGTTAATTTTGGTTGGATCTTCTACTTGTTCATGACCAGAAGGACGTGTTGTATCCATTTTTCAAAAGCTGTGTTTTTTGGATCAGTCAAAACTCACTCTGTTTCTGTGTATTGTTTTCTTCTTGTGAGAACATGAGAAGAGTGTTTATAGAGAGACTGAGAGAGGAAATGACTTATTGCCAACCAACCAGTGACACGTAATGGGTCCGTTTGGCACCGCCACGTGTTGGATTTTTGTTCTTTCGGTGTGGCGTATGTCGGTATGATCTTTTTTTATCTTTCGCCTTTTCGATGTCGGCCATGATTTGGTAGATCGTTCTCATTAGAAAATTGAAAATTGATCTTTAATGTCGGCTTGATATCTTATAAGAGAAGCTTGTGGATGAAACTTCTATCATAGGGCCACGTTTATTGGCCCATTATGTGATTGTTTTACATATGACATTGCGTACTTTTTAAATATTATAATAAACGGCCCATCGTTTCCATTCCAAGTTTGAAGTCGATCTACTACGCGTTTGGTTCTACCTCCTGTTTTTTTTAAAGAAAATGAATCTTATATTATGGGTAAGTAGATGCCCATTAGTTCTATAGGTGGATGTCCATTAGACCTATTTCTCCCTAATGTTGATTTTCCTTGGAATTCTACTATGTGCTCTATATAAAGAGCTCTTCCCTCATGGAATAAGACAACCTTCATTCTCTCATTTCACAATACGTTATCAGCACGAAAGTTCTACTTCTTAGCTTTAATAGGTAATCACAAAATTTTTAATAATTTTTATAGTTTAAATTCACAAAATTCAATGAGTAATCTCTATTACTTTGTTGATTTGTGTTTATCATTCTAAAATCCATTTCTATCAATATTTAATCTATATTACTTATTGATAATATTTTGGATTCAGCAAACATATACTTTATATATATTTATTTTATTTTCGTAATATATTTATTCAATTGTTAGAATATATATATATATTTTATTTTTTTGTCTGGTTAAATTATATCTCTGAAGGATTAATATTATAAAAATATATATATATATATCCCTGAAGGATCTATATATTATTTTTCCTTGAAGGAATTATATATTTCAATTATATACATCCCTGAAGGATTTGTATTTTATTTATATCCTGAAGGATTTATATTTTATTTTTATCCCTGAAGGAATTTATATATTATTTATTTTTATTATATCCCTGAAGGATTCATATTTATTTATATTTTATGTTTATTTTATTTATTTTATTTATATCCCTGAAGGATTTCTATTTTATTTATATCCTTGAAGGATTTATATTTTATTTCTATTTTTATTTATATCCTAGAAGGATTTATATTTCACTATATCCCAAAGAAATAATTTATATTATATATTTATTTATAGATCCCATATGGATTTATATAATTTATTTATATTTCCAGAAGAATTTATATATTTTTATTTATATATCCTAATAGGATTTATATTTTCTGTTATCCTAGAAGGATTTAATTTTTATTTTTTATCCAAGAAGGATAAATATATTTCAACTAAATATCCCAGCAGGATTTATAAATTTTATTGATATTATTTATCCCAGAAGGATTTTATATTGTCTATTATTTTATTTTCATTTATATATATTGTTCTTATTTATTTTTTTGCTTTTCAATATTTGTTATTTTAATTGATTTTCGTAATTAATTAATTGCTAAATTGAATAATTATTGAAAATTGAAGAAATCTGAATTAATTTGCATTGTTTGCATTAATTTGAAATATTATTACATTCTTGACCATATTAATTTTTAAGTTGACCTGTTGACCACATGAATTTATAATTGAATATAAGTGCTAAAATCACTCTGAAATATATATTTTTAATATTATTATTTAATGATTGTTGACTGCTTTGTTAAAATGAATCTTAATCAGTTTTATTAAAATATTATTGTTTGATTTTGCACTATAACTTCGTATATTGCTTATTACTGATTTTGAGATTGTTTATTATTGCTAAATCATCATTTGATCATTGCTAATAATAATATATATTATATTATTGCATATCTTGATTTAATATTATAAATAAATGTATAATTATTCCCTTGATTTGTTTTATTTATTGGTTTGATTTGGTTTAACAAATCAATTATTACTATTATATACTAATAAGTGTATTTCTCTATCATTACATGATTTTAAAATGTAATAATTTTACCATTGAGTAAAAAGAAAGGCATGATCACTAGAAGTGATCTAATATAGCAATCTAAAGAAAATGAACAATCATCTGAAGTGATATGATCTGATAGAGCATCTCAGACCATATAAACTTGAAGTTTATAAGTGAAAATATATTACTAATAAAAATGTATAAGAAGAAATTATGAAAATATTGTTGTCCTGCAGATACAATAGCATAAATATATTTAAGGAATATTTTAAAAATATTGTTGTCCAGTAGACACAATAGCAAATAAATTCTTAAAATTAAATTTGTCACTTGAAGTGATAATAAAAAGGTAATGTTATTTATATTAATTATTTATTTTATTATATTATTATATTTTGTTTATATATATGTTTGATAATATTTATTTATTTTTCAATTATCCTCTATATGAATATTTTGTATTTGCATTTAAGATTACAAGACTTGAAGTCTATAAATAATTTTTATTTATCTGGAAGATAATGTAAATCAATGATGATAAAAGGCATATATTGTCCAGCTGACAAAATATTATTGAAGAAAGTTTAAGAAATTATTTTGATAAAATAATGAGTTACTAATGAAAATCTTGAATCTTGTCTAATTGGTTTTGATCCATTCCCTGAAGTGAATGTGATATGAATGATTAAAGATATGATCATAGACATGAATATGAATCTTTTATAGTTCATGTTAAGGTCAAAACCAAAGAGTTTTATTTCAAGAACTCAAATTCTCATAAGAAGTGAGAAAATAAAGATGACAGCAAATAAAAGATACACATCTCCAGAAGAGTATATAAATTTATATTTGCTTATAGTAAATAATTTTTGATGCATTATATCTTTGAAATCCCAGAAGTGAAAAGAATCAAACACATTATAGAAATATAAAAAGTTTAAAGAATCAAAGATATAAAACATGATTCAAGTTGGGTATATTATTGATTTTATACTAGGATTCCATTCGAGATTGATGAACCTGAAGTGACATCATCTCGAGGGGGAGAATGGATGAATCCCTCAATCACTAGAAAGTGGAACATCTAGAAGATTATGTTCACACTAAAAATAATCCTGATGAATCATATATAATGTAACTCAATGGTGTAAAATTATTTTGAAAAAATAACATACATTATCTAATGCCTCATCATAGACAAAGATTAAATAGGAGATGTAAATGTTATGTAGTAAACTAGAAGTTTACCAAATATAACATAGTTTGGCATGAGCTGGTTAGACCATTTCGGTTCAAGAATTATGCGAAATAAAATACATCATGTAAAGATTTATTGAAGAACTTGAAGATTCTTCTTAATTATCTATAATGTGATGTTTAATCATAAGACATTATGATTATACAATTACCAACTAGCCAAAATAAATTTGGAATGTATACAATTTGTAGAAAGAATATAAGAAACTTTTGTGGTCTAATAAACCATTATATGGACTGATCATCCAGTAAGAGAAATGTTATGGTGTTTCTTAAATATATCAACAAGTGTTATGTATCAATATTACATATCTGCAACCTGAAGTTTGCGAGATTACTTGGTAGTGCTAGTGAAATCACATCTTAAATCTTTGTTGAGAAAAACATGTTTGTAAGAATAAATGTTGAACATCCAGTAGCAAATGTTCATAATTACACATAATGCAAAAGCATTAATTCGCATAAAGCCAATGAATAACTAAAAGTTCTCCCCATCGTAATTGGTTTAGGTCAGAAACCAAAGTTTTCCATCTAAAGATCTATGGATGTGCAGAATACATCCATAATGCTCCACCACAACAATATAAGATGGACCCTCGAAAGGATAGTAAATGTATGTTGGATATTAATCTCCTATGATAATATTTGAGCTATCCATGAAGGATTTAAATATGGCTCAATTTGTAGACTGTCATTTTAGTGATTCAGTCTTTCCAACATCAGGGGGAGAAAATAAAACAGCTGGAGAAAGATTAAAGTTAGAATGAATTATCATTGATCCTCAGACGATAGTATGTGAAATAAAAGTCTAAAAGATAATTCATTCACAAAACTTACTGTATCAATTGCCAGATACAATTACTGACCCAAATATAGTGTTGAGTCACTTACCAGCTGTAAATGCTCTAAGAATAATTGATTTCCCAGAAGGACAATATCAAACTGCTAGTAAGTCTAAAGAGCGCATGAAGTGTGATAGACTTCTTGGTTTCAAATATTAGTGACCTCGGTAAAGTAAAATGAGCATAAATTGACAATGGTTAAACCGAGGAAACAAATGTTTTTGAAATGATCTCAAGAAGAGATATTAAACATGACAAGAAAGAAATTCAGGTACCTGAGACAAAAAAGAGATCTCGAGAATTAATTATGTCATGTATGGAATAAAATGGAACCATAAAAGCAAATCGACGTCATAAATAAAATATTTGCATGCATTATAGCAGTTGATGTTAAAGATGAGAAAGAGGATCATGAAACAAAGTCTATTGCATTGTGTACACAAAGTAATGATTTGGCCAAATCGAAAAGAAGCAATAGACGCAAAACTAAAATCTCTTAGAAAGAGAAATGTATTTTGGACCAGAAGTCCTTACATCTTAAAAGTGTAAAACAAGTGGGTTATAATAGGCATGTGGTGGATGCAATTTTCAAGTTCATTAAGTGTGGCAATGAAAGAAGAACTTGAGTCTTAAGACCCACTAAATAATGACATTTTTATAAAAGTCCCTGAAGGATATAATTCCTGAAGGATTAATGATATCAAAACTATGTTCCCAAAAAACTCTAATTATTTGATCAAATGAAGAGAAATACGTCTCATTGGGGTACAATCACAAAAGTGTTACCCAGTGTA